AAATTGAAATTTGACCTTTATTAACTGGGTTAATTGTCAAAATCTCTGCTTGTAAAAAAAAAATTAATGACCAAAAAGTGGAACTTTTCGAGTTTCAAAGATGAGCTGAATGTCCAAGGAAGTATAAACTTTGACCTTCCTGACACATGTCATGAGTAACATCTATCCTCATAAATTGCAACCTGTGAGCAATTATAAAATTTCCCCTGTATCCAATCATGCAATTTAATTGCTGCAGAAAAATTCCAGCTTTCGTAGAGAGAGCCTGGAGAATTATTTGATGCCTACAGGAATTATATTTGTTTCAGGCAGGTACAGGAGTTCGTCCGGATTTCCAGACATGGAGATACACCCGGACAGAGATAGATTCTGGGTGTCTAGAGCTCAGGCAGCTCGACAGCAAACAATGCAACTTGTCACGGAAGCAGAGAAGAGGAGCCCAGAGCCTGGGTTCTGAGGCCATCCGCCCTGCGCTCCACTCTTCTCCCTTCCCGGTTAATTGCCCACCCATGATTCGCTGAAGGAGGCGCCATCAGTGTGACCGTGACGGGCAGCTGAACCCCAGCGGGATTGAGGCAGGGTTTGATGCCATCAACTTGGAAGTGGGTGTTTGCGACCAGGTCCTGTGGAACGGTTCCGGTCCTGCACGCAGGTCTCAGAACAGGGCCTGGAAGCAGTGGGCTGTTGTCTGTACTCAGTGGGCACCTTGATGCCTGTACTGTGATTCTAGCCTCATCTGGAAGATGCCAGGATGTTGGCAAATCTGCACCTGTGATATCTAAGGCCATGAGTCGAGCCTCGTTTCCTAAATGACGCTGTCAAATGTGTTCAGGTGCGGAAAAAAAATATGGATCGGAGACAAAATCTCTTGTTTGTAATAGAAATTACCCCTATAGGGGAGGAATAGTAAAGTTAGACTAAGAATATACAGGTGAGCTACAGTCTGGAGAACGCAGCCTTGACCAGACCACTTTCCATTAAGAATAGAAAAACAGAACATAATTTAGACCCGAAGCGGGTGGTGCTTCCCCAGGTACAGTGTGGGGTTCCCTTCCCTCAGCTCCTGGTGACAAGCATTCATGTCACACTGTGCCTGCGGCCCAGAACCCAGCAGCACCTGGCTTGCCGAAGACACCCAGCATCATCAGTGGACATCGTGACCCAAGCACAGTAAGGATGATAACCCCAGATTGGCCACATGGATGCTTGAGTTTCCCTCCCTGCCGCCTGGTGTGGGGCCTGGACCTTTCCTTAGGATGTGAGGATGCTGTATGAGAGGGCAGGGAGGTGCCCACAGCGATCCTGCAGTCTCTAGCACCCGAGCCTTGGAGAAGACCGACTTGGCATCACTGATGCAGCTAACCCGTGGGAGGGAGCAGTTTCTGCAGTGCCCTCTGTGACCGGGCCCCTGCCGCCCACTCGGAAGGTGACACTGCAGAGGCTCACGTGAGGGTCCAGCAATGCCAGGGCCTGATTTTGAGGATGAGGGTGGCAAGAAGGGACAGAAGCCATCCCATGACCTCACTGCAATCCAGGCTGAGGCCAGCACAGGACAGCAGAGCGGGCGATCAAGTCCCACTTCCCTCACACAGCTCCCCGAAGGTCCACGGGGAGTGCTATGAATGAATATTTTCCCCCAGTGCCTGGGGATGGAGCCCCGGGCCTCGAGCATGCCCGGCGAGAGCTCTACCACCAAGTGGCCTCCTGGCCAGTGACCAAACTTCCTAACAAATTACACCACACTCTGAACCACGTCAGCCCCGAGATCTTTAGACAACACAAGCCCGAAGTTCGTTATTTTGACAATTGCCAGTACCAAAACAAAATAAACCTTCTCTTTCAGCTTGTGCATGAGACAGAAGTAGCTATTCCCCTCGACGCGTTTCAGGATTCATCGACAGCTTCTGGTCCAAAAGTCATGCCGGAGGAGGTGACACTGTTCTAATGCTGTCCCCACCCTGCCGTCAGGCAGCTGGTAGGCAGCCTGAGTGGGGAGGGTTTGTTTGGAGTCACCTGTGAGATTTACTTGAAAACTTACAGCTGACACCTCCAGGAGTGGCTGTGGTTGTCCCCATGGAAGCTTTTGTAGCACACTTACCTGTTTAAAATAAGTAGATCCCCTTTGGGATCCTGCCGAGTCTGGGCAGCAGCTGCCGGTGGAGGTGACACTTTCACCTACGGCCACCCCAGGACACCTGTGTCCACCACACACGGCTCTTGGCCCAGCAACCTTAGAGGGCAATTCGGCTTTACAGGGAAGGAAACGGAGTCCCGGGCACTGAGGAGCAGGTTCCAGGTCGCAGATGGGGCGGAGGGTGCAGGTCAGGGTTCTTGTCGGCTGGCACGGGGGAGCTGTCTCGTCCCAGGCTGCAGGCTCCTCGGCCCAGCAGTCACTTCTGCTGCAGGGAGAGGCGAGGCGGGAGCCAGCGGGCCGTGGGCAGACAGCTGCCCCAGTGTTCTCCAGGTGCTCGGGGGAGCCGGGCAGAACTCGCCCAACACCTAAACTCAGCCCCTCCAGAACTATACCAGGTCAGCACGGAACTGGAAGTCTGAGGCGCAGGCCACAGGCTGGCTTTGTCTGCTAGGACGCGCGCTCCTGAAGAGTCGGGAGCATTAGGGAGAAACAAGAAGCTGGAGAGGACCAAGGAAGAGACAGGAAGTAGACGACGTCCTGATCTCCCAAGGAGGGGCAGCGTGTCATTACTGTCCTGGTTGGGCCACCCAGTGCAGCAACTGTCCAGTCAGCCATGGAGCCCTTGTTATGCACCAGAGGCTCCCCAAGACCAGATGGGGGCCAGGCAAACAGCACAAGCGTCTGCACATTTGTGTCATGGAGGTCAGCCTATGCCATGCTGACGAGCTCCAGAGCAGGGCAGGGAGGATCCTACTCGTGAACTCTGCCTCCCAGGAGTGGCTCGGCCTTGGAAAGTTCAGCTGGTGCGGTGGTTACTAGGCTGGGCGCGTCCATGCACAGCAGCCTGGGTCCTCCCTGGCTACTGGCCTTGACCTACTTCTTTGACCTCTATGGAGGAGGAGCAAATCCTTCCCTCTTTCAGCCACAGGCAGCCGACCAGGCGAGAAGGGTGTCCTGTCCCACCAAGGCCTCCTCTGCCAGGACCGCACAGTCAGGTCCAGCAGGGCAAACTCATTTCAATAACAGATCTGCTGGTGCATTTAAATACAATTCAAGTTACTCAAATTCAATTTGCACACAGAACTTCAGGAATACATTATAGGAGGAGGCACTGTTGATTAAAACAGGAGGGTGACCCTTAATGAGGTTATTGGATCCTACTCTACACCCATCTCAAATTGACATTTAAATAAAAGTGAGCCGCATGCTTGAGTCGGGTTATGAGTCTATGAAACACTGACAATGAGGGGCCAGTAGCAGCAGCTGGGGGGGCTGCGCAGGGCGTCCTAGAAGCGCACTGGGGTGCAGAGTACTGGGGTGCTTAACCCTTCAGTCCCCAGCCCCCGCCTTTCCGCAAGTCCTGGGCCTGCCCTCCGACAGGGGTTCCCTGTTCTTCGTTGGACATATTAACCCTCAATAATACAAAACGGATGATGTATAGGAAACTGATTGTTTTGTTCTTAGTGCAAGTTTAGTTTAGTATGCCCTTGCATATTGGGGACCGGGGACTATCTTAAATGTATAACCCCACCTCTCAACAAAAAGATTAAACACATCTTGCAGTGAGCCTATTCTAAAAACTTCTGGGCCGGAAATCACCCATCCGGCTGGCCCGTTTGGGGGAGGAGCGGGGTGGTTTTACCAGGTGGGTGGATCTGATGTGTTTACTCCAGAGGCAGGTAGCGGGCTGCTTCCCAGCAGCGGGGTGCACAACCTCCCACCCCGAAACGGGACAGAAAGTAAGCGGAGGGTGTGTAACAGGAAGGCCCGTTCCCAAGCCACACGGCAGCATGGGTCCACCAGGGCCAGTTTAACCGCTCTGCCTGGACTTCCACACTCACAAACGACTGGAGGCACCACTTCTGTGATCACTGCATGGTCCGATGACCACATACAGCTTAGCAGGAGGGACAAACAATCGCAGGAGTTTTTTTTCTTCTTTACTGAGGACTGAAGCCAGATCATTCATGCTGAGCTGCATGCCCTGCCCCAGCCCTTTTCTGAGGCCATCTAAGCTGCCCAGGCTGGTCTGAAAATTGCCACTCTACTGCCTCAGCCTCCCAGGGTCCTGGGGGTATAGGCCTGTGTCATGACACACGCTGTCTCTGAGATTTTACACAGGGCCTTTTGATAACTCAGGTCTATTCTTCTGTCCTTCAAGAAAACGTGGACATGGAGACCCTGAGAACAGACACCACTGCCCCCCAGTGTGGGGATGGAACCAGGGCTGGGGAGCCCAGCTTCCTTGGCACCTCGGGCCTTCTCTGGGACACAGTGTGAAAATGACCTGGCCTAGTGCTGGCAGTTTACGGGTCACCATGGCTAGAAAACTCCTTGGGAGCACCCAGCTCTCAGCGCAGTGCAGTGCAGCACATCCTCCTGGCTGAGAAAAGCCGCACCTACGAGCCCCTCCACGCCCTCAGCAGGGAACCAGCATCTGCCCACTGCCTCGCTGGGTCTCCCACCTAAGCAGAAGGCGCCAAAGGCCTCATGCTCCACAGCAGTGTTTATCACAAGGACAAGTGTGAGACTTACTCAGCTTTAAAACTACGCACTTGGGACATCAGAGGTTGGGGAAACCAGTGATCAGCAGCCTGAAAAGCAGAGGCTCTGGGGGGGTGGGCAGCCGCACTCCCTCACTCGCCTCCCACCCTACCCCGCTGAGCCCGGTGCCCTTGCTCTCTGCCTGTGGCCTAGCCAGCCTCTGGCACGCTGATGAAAGACACGGGCTGGGGCTCTGTGGGCTCTGCGTCCTGGGCGAGCATGGTCTCCAACTCACGGTCAGCGTTCCAAAAATGCTCCAGGAAAAAGATGGCTTACATCGGACAGCCTGTCCCACTCCAAAGAAAAGGAACAGACAAAAGTATTAATCATGTTTTTCTTTTAATAAGGGATTTTACTCAAAAGGAGAGCTTGGAAAATCTCTAGCTTGCTGTGAAAACCAGAAAAGCCAGGGAGCTGCCTCGCTTCGAACAACAGGGGAGGCTGCACGGGCCACCGGGGTTTGCACCCACCTGGTGTCCCGCCTGAGCCGAGCCCAGCGCCAGGCACCACCGCCAGCATCCGAAGTCTGGAGCAGGCTGCAGGTGCTACTTTGATTGAGAAGGGAGGATAAGTTCTCAATACAGTGAAACAAAACACAAAAAGTAAACAAATTTTTAGAAATCACTAGGTATATATGTGCATATATATTTATATAATTAGGATTATCATCAACATTTCAAACTATTAAAAATAAGGTTGCCACCTTACATTTTATTTCAGTACTAGGGTATTATTTTCAGGAGGAAAACAAAAGATTCTGCCTGGACTCTGGGCATCGCCTCTGCCGCTCTCTCGCTGCAGCCCAGGAGGTCACCAATCCACCTACGGGAGGCCGAGCAAGCGTCACCTCCTGCCATCGGCATGACCTCAGCGTGAGGGCCACAAAGCACTGCTGAGCAAGGGAGGACACCACGCGGCGCTGGGCCTGCGGCCCCAGGCCCTTCTCGCCCTCTGCGACACTGTTAGCGCACGTGTTCTGCCTCGAAGCAAGATGGCAATCTTAATCAGAAAGCTAGATTTTTAAAATAACTTAAAAAATCATTTGTATATAAAGCAGCAAAAACATATTTTCCTCTCTGCGGAAAAGAAAACTGTTAACAAGAACACAGCATGGAAACGGCCGTCCACTGGTCCGGTCCGGTCCGGGTCGCTCAGCGCCGCACCCGGGCACCGTCGCCGCGGTCCGAAGGTTCTTTGGCATCTCCGATCCCTCCCTGGCTTTCCCCGGGGCTGCAGCTCTCCTCGGGGGCCGTCCCGTTGGGGATAGAGTTCTCGCCGTTGACGAGGCCGTGCCTGGCGGCACCGAGTGCCTCCTGCACGCCGGCCTGGCCCTCCAGGTTTCGCAGCACCAGCGGCAGCCGCGACTCGCCCGCGCCGCCCTCCAGCAGGCCCAGGTTGCTCTCCTCGTACTTGGGCAGCGGCGCCCGCGCCTCCAGCTGCTGGCGGAAGCACTTCCGGTGGGCAGCCGCGCTCTGCACGGTGCGCTCCAGGATCTCCTTCTCTCCGAGCCGCAGCTTCACAGCCATCTTCATGCGGGTGGGCAGCTCCGGGCCCTTCAGCACAGCCTTGTCCTCCTGCAGGCCAGAGAGGTGGAGTCAGGGACGAGGAGCCCACAGCGGAGGGCAGAGCTGCGGGCTGGAGGGAGGGAGGGAGGCACAAGGGTCTGGAAGCGGCTGCGTGCACTCCCGTGACTGGGCACTTGCAGCAGAGCTGGGCTGCAGACTTGGGGGTGATTCCTCGGGAAACCCCGTGTCAAACACAAAGGAGGCCTGCGCCAGGGGGGTGGCACTGGACAGGGCATGCACGCTTTAGAAGCCACCCGGTGGAGGGCTCCGATGTGGCCCCAGGGTGGTCCAGGATGACAGGCAGGAGCTGGAAGGAAAGCAGGCAGGGGACAGGGAGGGAAGAAGGATGAGGAGAAAGGAGGCAGGAGCAGGAGGGAGAAGGCAGCCCTTGGGGAGGAGGCTCAACAGTGAGATCTGACAGCACCAGGAAAGTGGCATCGCTTGAACCAGAAATTTAAGTATTAAGCAACCGAAAGTTCTGTCTTCTAATCAACAATGCCTCAATATGGTTTTTGCGGGTAAATATGCACATATTAAATGGAAAAATACTAATTATGAATGAAAATGTCCAATATGTAACTATTTTGCTAAAAAATTTAACAATTTACATTTAAGAAGAAATCTTTTTAAAAACATGAGAAAGCGCAAATATCCACTCATCAAACCAATTACCTCAATGGTTGTTTTATATGTTTTTAAAAGAAGAGAAGCTCGATCTTCGAGAAAGGACCAAAGCTTGACCTCATTTTCCCAGCTGACTGGAAACTCGGAGTTGCCCAGGGTGAAGATTCTGTCGATGGCGTTTTCTCCTAGCAAATGCTCCTTCAGCTCCTCTGCGAGAGACACACAGCAGTCTGTCAGGAGGGAAGAGCAGCACTGGCCTCCTTCCACGGCATCCACTACAGAGCCCGGGCCTGATCCCTTAGCCAGGCCTCCCCAGGGCTGGCACGGCTGAGTGCTGCCCCTGGAAACTGCGTCCTGCCAGCCTTGGTGAGCCCCTGAAGACAGCCTGTGGCCATGCACACCACTGAGGCCCTCCCAGCCCCCGGTCCGAGAAGACAGGCGAACAGGACGGCACCGGAGATGCAAGCGTCACAGCCTCCAGAGGGCCCTGCAGTTGCAGTGTAAAGGCCACTGCTCATTCCTAAGCTCGTCTTACGAGTATGCCACAGATCAGAAACAGGAAAGGGACTAGGAAAGTCTTAAGAAAACACGGGCCTGTCTGTCTCACTCGTCAAGGATTCAAACAGGAGTTACAAACACATACAAGTCTACACGTCAGGCGCCCCAGTCCTACTTCAGGAGGAGCCAGACCCAGCGCCTGCCCAAGCAGGGCATTTCCCCCAAGGAGAGCCGCTCCAGGGACAGCATCCCGCCGCACCCGCAGAGCTGCCCCAGCCACCCCGGCGCTGGCTCTGGCTCTCGGGCTCGGAGGGAAATGCCCGGCAGGTGGCATCTGCTGCCCCCAGCAAACCAAACTTCCACTAGTGTTAGGGGGCAACACAAAGACAAGCACCTGCCTTGCAGGATACCTGTCTTCTCTGACGAAGGGGAAACAAGAGAGGCAGCAGACCTAAAAGCTTTCTTTTTCTTTTGCTAAAAGAAAATGGATGCTATCTAATGTTGAAAAAAGATTTACTGAGTTGTATTTGACAGCAAAAGAATAGGGCAGAATTCAGGATTTTTAAGTTTGTTGTTCTTCAGTTTACATTCTTTGTATAAAGTGATGAAGATTAAAAGTAAAGGCAGCCCCTTCGTGGTGGAAATGTCTTCAGAAGCCCTGAATACTGTCACCCCTCCCTCACTGGCTCCAGGCCTCTTTTCAAGACAGAAAGCAGGCTGGTGGGGAGGCTGAGGCAGGAGGACTACAAGGTTGAACTCATGCTGGGCAACTTGGCAAGTGAGTGAAACCTTGTCTCAAAAGAACAGAAAAAGGGAGGGGGCAGTGAGGACGGAGCTCTGGGTTCAATCCCGGCACTGGGTAAGTGAAAGGAGGGAAAGCAGGGGTCCTGGGACACAGCTCTTCTCCGCCAGCGTTGAAAGTGACGCTGCACTCAGATCACCAGAGAAACGAAGCCGAGAGGCTGGGAAGCAAAGTGAAGCCAGGGCCTGCCTGGATCCGGAGAGCCGCAAGCACTCAGAAGGGGCCTGCCAGCCTTGCATCTGGCCCGCTCGGGGCTCCTGAGCTCCACCTCGGCAGCCAGGGCCCAAGCACCTGGCTCCCGGTGTGTGTCCTCCTCCACGGCGCCTGACTGGGCACCGAGCCTCCAGGCACTGAGATCTCCTGCCTCGTGGGCCAGCAGCTCACAGGACTGACCGCTGAACTGCAATGAAGCACAACCAGTGCCCCGCCTGGACAGCACCACCCAGAGGCCCTGCTGGATGGCTCCGCTCTCATCCACTGCCCGTAGCCAGTGACTATACTGCCAGCCCATGTTGTGGGACTGTCTTTCTCTGGACTTGTGCAGCCTCTTCCGAGCCCCAAACATGACGAGGGCAGAGACGGCAGAGCACATCAGCCCTCCCCGGTCCCCCAGCTCCTGGGACACTCACTGCCAGGCACCGTCACTGCCCTTGCCAGCCTTCACGTCTCCCCACCCACTCTGGCTGCCCAGGGTTCCAGGCTGTTTACAAGGACAGAAATTAGATACCAAGCCTCAGGACCGGGTGCACATTTTACAGGGGAAATAAAAGCACAACCCTGCTAGGTCGTATGAAACCCCAGTGACTTGTCTCAAGCAAACAGAAAGGCACGAAGTACCTTCCTTAACTCTCTCTGGGACTGAAGGAAGAGGCTGCAGCTGAGAACACCCCACGCCCCACTGGGTACCCCCGCCCCAGGCCTCTGCAGCACTGCTGACTCCAGTGGATGACCGGCAGGTGACATTTCCAGGGCAGAGCAAATCTAGTTTTTCTTCCCCTCTTCCCAAAGGTGCTTCAGTTTTAAAGCCATTTTGTCTTTAACCTAAACCTTTCTGCCTTATCCATTTTCATGAATTAAAGAAGAAAAGCAGCACCTCTTTTTCTTTGCTGGAATGATTTACCTTCTGTCATGCAGAACACCCGGAGGAAAGCCAGCAGCTGAGCAGAGATGGGCGGCTCGGTGAAATGCAGCGCAAACACGCTGGACCTGCCAGGAGAAGAGGCCAGGTCAGCCGCCTGCCCTCACACCTAGGCCATGTGGCCAGCGGCCTGAACGAGGGGCTGAGAGCACAGGGCAGGATCGCGGATGGGACAGCCACATCGGGCATCGGCCACCTCTGCGGCGCCCGCCCCTGTCTGGGGCGCAGCCTTGCACTAAGGTAAGGAAACATGCCTATGCGTCTTAAAACACATTCATAATAATTTACGATAAGTTCACACTTTAATCATTAATCAAATATTGACAAGTCCAATAAAAAAGGCCCAGATAATCCATTTTCATTAAGAATGGTTCCTCTGTTCCCAGGAGGTCTAATACATCATAATTCTTGTCTTTATCATCTTGCTCCTCAACTACAAGAAAATCCTAAAGAATTTAGCCAAAAGTACTTGAAATTACTGAGTACCATCACTTCATTATGGAAACTAATGGAAGCAAACAGTTAACTGAAAGTGTTCCAGATCATTAACCTTTCCAGGGTGAAAGACATTAATGACTCCAAAGCACTTATTTAACTCAATGAGGACCACCCCACTGCCCCCCCCCCAGCACTGCCAGCAGTGTCCTGTGGCACAACTATGTCCCTGAAAAAGCCGGCCACTCACCACATAGCACCACAGTGGCAGGGGTGCAGGGGAGGCCTCCTGATCATGCCAGCGAAACCCACCCCCCAGAACACACGGGCACTGCCAGGGCTGAGCGCACATACGTTGGGATGCCAGCACGGGCCAGGACCTCCGCCTTCATGGCGTATAGCCGGTCGCTCTTACTCACGCCGAGCTTTATTTTCACTCTGTCGTGTGAGTTGTTGTCAAAGAAGAAGCCACTGTGGATCACGAACTCTGCATTTGACCGGGTGCCATAAAAGATGTAAATCTGAGATGCAGCAAAGAGAAAAGAGAGGGCGTAAAACAGAGTCCGTGCGCCCCAACATAAAGCAGCCGTCACCACGCAGTGCTGCTGCACCTCAGGGAGATGCAGGGCATGAAGTGCCTGGCCCTGCCCGCAGGGGCGAGCCATAGATTCCCCACCTTCTTAGGTCAGGCGGTGCGGGGCCCAGCACCCAAGCCTGCCCCAGCGGGCAGAGAAAGCCCTGGGGAGGTCCCAGGGCCTCTGCTGCAGCCCTCTCACTCCCAGGACAGCCCGGATGCTCCTCTGGGCCTGCACCTGGGGCGCACTCTGGCCCCCTCTCCTTTCAGCCAGGGTCTCTTTTGAGAACAGGAGCTCAGAGCACACTTACACCCAGCAGGAGGTTCACAGGCTTCTCTGTTAAACTAATTTGTCATTCTGGCTCCACTGGAGTGTCCTGATGCTGAGTGCAGGGACGAGAGATGCGCATTTTCACATTTACTCAACAGCTCACTCCCGTGCCTACCCACATTCTTAGACTCAGATTAAAGCGAAGTGTAAGACTTCCTTATATCTGTGCCACTTAAAACTTCTGAAACATTGCCTCTGTATAAAGAATCAACAAATGAAGAAATAAAAGCAATGCAAGTTGGGAGATAATTCATTTCAGTGTCACAAGATAAAAGCTAATTTTCTGTTAACACTGTTAGGGGTGTCAGGTCAACTGTGCAGTAACTGTATTAAATCTTTTTCTTTGTGGACCCCAAGTACAACATCCTTATTGTAGAATTAAGTCTCAAGAGGTGTTCAGAAAACAAACCACCCTGCAGACTGGTTTTCTTCCCAGGCTGGCCACACCCACCTGCTCTCCGGCCCGGAAGTCCTGCAGGGCCACACACTCGCAGCGGTCATCCTCCAGGTTGTAACCCGTCGTGATCTGGCCACGGGGAAAGGCAGGAGACAACAGTGAGGGTGCCGGGGTCTGTTTCGGCAGGGAGAGGGGAACGGGCCTGGGGGTCCTTACACGGGTGCCTATGAGGCCTTTCTGCAACACCCTGCACAGGACACACCTAACTTCCGCCATCTCTGCTGACGCAAAGGAGGCACTCTTGGAAACCAGTACAGTGGTATACCGGTATCCACCAAGCACACACTTCTATGACAGTACTGCCCCTGGGCGCCCAACAGCAGGGTATGCACAGGTGATAGGGAGACGGACGGCTATACCGAGCCTTGTGCCTATTCACGGGGATCTGGGAGAAGCAGGGTCTCTGACAGACTCTCATTCGCTCAAAGTGTTGGACCAGTAAGGAACTGAAGTGGGTTTCCACTAGCTAAAGAATCAGAAGACAAGAAATCTCTGTTTCTACATTAAGTGTTTTACTCTGGAATCCAAAAATGCAGCGTTTGGGTAGGAAAAGTGAAGTGGTACTACTAACATGGCCACCGCTGGCCACTGCGGGTCAGCAGCACTGCCTGCCTAGCATGCATGAGGCCTGGGTTCTGTCCCCAGCGCCTCAAAACAAAATCCAGCTCTTCCTTACTGCTTTTCCTGTCCCGTGTTCCCACGGCCCTCAGCACACAGAAATCCTCCACCAACCTGCTAAACCTGTGCCTCCCGAGGCCCCGCCCGTGTCAGCGCCAAGGTTACAAGGAAAGCCGCACCTCCTACACCTCTTTAGAAGCCTTCCCTCCTCATCCTTCGCGGTCCTCACTTTCTCCCCTAGCTCAGTATCTGCAAAAGCCCTTCTAACTGACCTCAGAATCCAGCCCTCCTGCCCTCCCTGTCCCCACCTCCAGAACCACATCAAATCCCCAAGCAGGACCGGTTCCAGGAGGCCCACACCTCCTTGGCCTCAACATATGTGGCTCCAGCTAGGCCGGGTCACTGTCCCCGCGTCCTCCTGCCTGGAGCTCCCTTCTCCTGCTGCTCGGCCTGAAACCCGGTGGAGACCCAGCCTCCTCAGGGAAGCGCCCTCATCACACTTCCTTCACCCTCCCACCTCCAGGAGGCCCCCCGCCCGGCTCTCCTGTCATCAGCAACCCCATGCCTGGCACACAGCATTTAACACCTGATGCTCTGAGTTACCAAAGGCATGACCCCCTCCGCCAGCAGGAAGAACTGGCCCCCAATTCACGGTCGTGCAGAGCAGCCTGCTACCCGCTGTCAGTCCAGCTTTCTACTGGACTTACTGGCTTCACCCTGGGCAGTGAGGCTCGGGACGTCAGCAAGCACTGCCTGCTAAGAAAGGCACCAACTGGATCTGCACCACAACAGCGGGACAGAAGGCCACTACTGCTCAGCTTGAAACCCCACCTGCCTAGAGCTGGTGGGTTATTCAGCCCCTCTAGATGCGCTTCGTGCTTCCCGTCTGCACAAAGCAGTGAGGAACGCCAACCCAATGAGACCGAGGAAGCCGTGCACGCCAGGGCATCTCACTCAGAACAAGGTCAGCACTTAAATCAGGTTAGAATGAGCTCCTTCAGCACCTGCCCAAAGTCAGGCTCAGGGTTTGCCCTGCAAAGTATCATCCTGATGACACAGCTCGAGGAGCTGCCCACAGGGAAAGGGGGCTCTCTCCTGCTGTAGCAGCAGGACCCGCCAGCAGAAGCAGGAAGAGGGGGGCAGGGGCGGGCACAGAGGACAGAGCCGAAGGGTGCAGAGTTAGTGCAGCCTCTATGGAACAATGTGGAGCTTTCTCCAAACTCTGAAGTGGAACTGCCACCAGAGCCGGCCACCATGGCACACAAGGAGGGAAGGAAGTCAGTGCAGGAAGCTACCCGCGTCCTCGTTCACTGGGGCACATCAGGACAGCTGAGACAGAGCAGCCGCCTCAGAGGCCGGGTGAGCAAAGGTGGCTGCACACACAGCGCAGTATACCTGGGCCTGGGAAGAATTAAGTCACGGCACTGGCAGGGCAGGGAGGAAGTGGAGGATATCGAGTCCAGTAGATGAAACATGCTGGACGTGGAGAGGCAAGGGTGGAGTTTTCTCACACACGACAGTAGCAGAGGGATCACCAGGCAAGGACAGGGAGATGTGGGGGAGCACAGGGGCTTTGTCAGTACGATCAAGGCACTGAATGCATGCGTGAAACACGCTCATCTGCTCAGGTGACGGGCTCCTGGTGACAAAGCTAGGAGACCACGGCCAGCGGCCTCAACGCAGAACCAGTAGGGCTCTCCCTGCAGGCACAGAGAGACCTCTGCCAGGGCCTGGGTCATGGCCACCCTGGGGAACCAACAGCCACCAGCGCCTCAGGGCAAAGGCCAGACCCCAAGTCGGGGGCAGGCAGAGGAGCCAATTCCAGCATCACCGGGCTGTGACCCCGTGACACCACCCTGCCTTACCCAGCCACGTGTGACGCCGCCCCAATGCCCCTGCCCCACAAACACTGGGCATGGAGAGCTGGTTCCAAGCTGATCCAAGGTGGGCCCCATGCTAAACCCCACCCCCACCCAGTGGGACAGCCCAGGGGGGTGCAGGGAAACGCCCACCGGGTCCTCCAGCAGGTGCGGGGGTCAAGTTCCTGGGCACTGCCAGAGGGGGCTGAGAAGCCAGTCTAAGGAAGCTCCACACAGGGCCTAGGAGGAAGACGCACAGACGCAGTTCCCCGACACAGAAAAGGGGCGAGGAGCGGAGCCACTTCAATTTTCCTCTTTCCTGTGTCCCTCAAGTTTTCCCCAAGTATGCCATTACTCTCATTATTGCAGCAGAGAAGAAATGAGATAAGACATGCTCACCAAATAGAATTTGGAAAATAGAGGAGCAGAAGAAAAAGATCACAGTCTCATTAACAGTTGGTTGCTTGCTTTCTGGTCTTTTCTCCTAGGTATTGGTACACGTACTGTATATCCATCTACTCACCACTCAGGAGGTAATTCACAAAATGCCCGTGCTGGGAGGTACCCAGGCCCGGACATGAATAAGACACACAAGAAAGTCACCCTTTCTCGTGATTATGAGGTGAGCAGGGGGAGGATTACAATACAGATTCAGACTTGAAATACACGGATGACAGGGAAGCAGAGTAGAGCAGCGTATACACAAAATGGGGAAACACAATCAGATAGAAAGGAAGGGCTTCCGTGCTGGGCACACCTGCAAGTCCAGTGTCCCAGGAGGCTAAAGCAGGAGGATGGCAAGTTCAAACCCAGTCTGGGTAACTTAGCAACTCAGTGAAACCCTGTCTCCAAATTAAACAAAACCAAAAAGGCTGGGGCACAGCTCGGCATCCCACTAGAATGGCAGGGCTCAAGGGGTGGGTGGCAGCGCAGGTTCACACAGGGCGCAGAGTAGCAGCCTCGGAGTCACCCAGGAGGGGCACCCTGAGGTGGGAGTGCCGCAGTGACAGCAGGTGGCCCCACGTGCTGCAGCTGGGCTGGGGCAGCTTACAAAGGGGCCCTCATCTGTTTTATAAGACTGCTGGCTTCCACTTTACGGACACTGACTAAAGGCTTTCACAGGCTTCACACACAGACGGGAGGCCCCGAAGGGCAGCGCAGCCGGCTCTGCCTAGGTCCCCCGTCCTTTCCCTGCCGGCGAGCAGCCTGCACCACACACAGGAGAGCTCACACGTCTGCAATGGTCTGTAATGCCCTGATGCTGTGCTCCTCGTATAAACTGAACCCAGAGGATACAGCTGCCCACATAGGTGCTACACGGTGCCTGACGCCCTGTACAGAGCCTGCCTCCCAGGCACCAGGGACACGGATTCAGGGGCCGTGTCCACCAGCTCCGCCTGTGCCTCCCTGTCCTGTGGCTGCTGGTCTGGAATTGCTGCCGCAGACGGGATTCTGTGCTCCCCTCACCAGCTTCTGCGACAGTGTTCCAGGCAGACAGCGTTGCTGGGATACAAATGCCTACCTACTCCCTGAGCGCAAGCCAGGAGAGACTGACAGCACGAGCAAGAGAGAAGCTGAGCTTGAAAAGCTGAGCCTAGATGTCAAGTCTTATTTTTAAAATGAGATTAACTGTGAATGTATAGGAGATCAGGCTTCACAGCGAGTGTTCACACAGGCCTTCTTAACCCCACCACGTGAGATGGCCTGTGCAGTCTCACAGCAGTGCTGGGAAACAGGTCACACAGCTCTCAGAGCTTGGGCTGCAAGGAGGCAACTGCTCGGCGATGGCGCCGGCCCTGGGCACCCTGGGAGGGCAGCAGCCTCTCTACCCGGGCAGACTGCATGAGTCCCACTAAGGAAAGCGTGGCGAGGGTCATCAGCGCTCTGTCACTTTTATTTTGAGATAAACTGTAAAGCAAGCAATAGAAAGTCACATTACATGTATACACAGTTATTTGGAAGCTGGCATCCGAGTGGGAGGAGGGGGCGCCCCCCGGGCTGCCCAAGCACTGCAAGGCCCCTTCCCAGACACCTGTGCCACCTGACTCTGTTCACAGAGAAGCTTTCTTTCTTTAATCTCAGAAGTAAAAAATAAACTCCAATGATCAATCAAGTTTGAGAACCAATGATCTTGTCCAAAAAAAGGAGAAGAAAAATACAAGAGCCAGATATTTTAAGAGCTATTTGAAAATTTTTTAATTTCAAGCTTAGGATCCGTTAAAAATATCTCTCATGGGGAAAAAGAAGAATAAAGAATGTAAAATTATATTCATTAATGAAAATAGAAAACATGCTGCTATTTTTTAGTATTGCTAATTAAATTAAGCATATCTAAATTAAGGCAAAATATATTCTTTCTTGCTACAACTGAACTATTCCTAAGATTCTAGCGTGTGACTGCTGCTAGAGCCCCGTGTGAGCAGGAGGATCCCCATCTCAGGAGCCCAGCACCCGGCACATGTGTTCTGCTGCGCTGTGGAATCAGAGGTGAATCCTTAATCTACTCAAAATACTGCTAGTAACAAAGAAAGGTAGTGTCAGGAAAAAGTGAACACAACAAAACCAGACCAGTGGGCCAGTCGAATGTTTGGAACACTACAGTTCTCTGGGGTTTACCGCCCTCTGCCACGCCCCGAGGCTTCCTTCCACCTGGATGTGACTTGAGATCTGCAAAGGGCCGCACCCGGTTCCCAGCAGAGCGGCAGTGACAAGGCAGCCTGGCTTCGCCACTCCACCTCCTCCAGTGCCCGTGGCCTGGCCAGGGTCTGTGGGACACCGGGGGAAGGAGGGGACAGGAAAGCACGGGGTGGGCAGGGTGGACATCTGGAAGCCAGTCCACAGAGAAAAAGAAAACAAAGGGGAAGGGGAGATACGAGGATCGCCAGTCAATCAGTGTGTTTAGAAGAATCCAGAACTGAGGACGCTGGTTGAGCCTGTGGCAGGTGGGAGCCCTGGCTTCTACTTTTCAGCATGCAATGAGCAGAGCCAGACAGAAACCCAGGAGAGGGGTGCACTGTGCCCCTGCCCCTTGTGGAGGGGGGCAGGGACAGAGACACAGGAGGTGGCGTGGTGGTGGGGGCTAGGCAGGGCCTCCGGGCTAACACCAGGGGAGGTCGTTACCAGGCCGTTGGTGTGGTTACACATGTCCCACAACGGAATCAGGGCCAGGGTCACCCGGGAGCCATCCTCCGTGGGGATTTGGTTTTGTCGAGTCATAACAGAAGAGACCGCCCACCTGCAACAATCAGAAAAAAGCAAATGAACGTCTGGAACTCTCAGAAGTGGACTGCAGTGTGGAACAGCGCGACCAGAGACACTTAGGGCCACTGACCCCTCACAGTTTCCAAGCCTTTTCCTAAACACCAAAAGCAAGGCTGGGGCTCTGCCACTATCATTAAAACTAAATCGGGGATCAGGGGAGGCGAGGGACTGAGGGAGCAAGCAAGGCAGTGTGAGGAGCAGGGCCAGGCCCGTTCAGTGGTCACCTAGATGGCTAAGCCCTGCCCCATCACCCCTGAATGCTGACCCTGCAGCCTTAGGGAGAAGCAAATGATACAACTACTTTTTCAGTGGGAGGCCTCTAAGAATTTATGAAATGTGGAGGGCAGTATTTTATCACATTATGCAGTGAGTAACTCTTTGTGCCCGGGAAGAAATCCCCACTTTACAGTGATATAATCCACGAAGAGGAGAAAAGTCCCCTAGCATGAATGTCAATCCCAAGCCCAACCCATCTCCTCCTGCTGGGTGGGGGGCAATTGCAAGATGCACGTTAAATCACTGCCAACCATCCAAGCTGTGCGCTGGGACTTCTGGGAGCACCTCTGCTCCAATGCTTCCTGACCACAGCTTGTCACTTACTGATGCGTCCCCCTCCCTGCCAGGCCCCCACACTTCCCCTGGAAACCCCTCCCCCACACACACTACCTGGGACCGCATACTGACCTGTAGTCCTCGTAAGTGAAAGAATCCTTCAGGGGCAGTTTGTTGGCATGAGGATGGGTCTGGGAGTGCCAAGTTTTGGAAAGCAGAGGTGAAAAGAGAAAAGGGAAACAGCAGTCAGTCAGCAGAATCCCCCCTTCAGGGCGCTGGATGCAGCAGGAGACCCGGCCTCAGGCCGGGCTCCTGGGGTCGGCGTGCTGGGACGCCTTGTACATCACTGGCACCTTCATTTGCTGTGCCCAGCAGCTGTCGCAGACCTGCTCCTCCGTATTTTCATCCTGGGACCCACAGACATCGGGGAGAACGCGGGAAGGCGGATGGCTCTCGGGCAGGCACCCCCGCGCAAAGGCGTCTGACCCACACCTCGAATAAGCCCGAGGAGCCGGCATCACATGGCCTCCCGCACCAGGCTTGGGAGCCCAGCCGAGCCAGGCCCGCTAAAAGCCCACTGTCTCTCACTACTCTCCGCCTAGAACCCTTTGAGGGAAGCGGACACCTGCACAGGTCAGCCACACACCCCAAAAATCAAGAAAACTTCTTCTAAGAAATTTTACAAGCAAAATAAAGAGAAAACAGCATATTTTTAATTGTAGCACTTCTTTTCTGAACAAAAGAACATTTGGTAAAAATACCCCTCACTTCACACTTCGGAGAAAATTTTTATACACTTCTATTCTCCCTTCTCAATGCTGCCCCCCCCACCCCGAGCACTTAAAAACTTTGTCTCAATTAAGAAATTAAAGGCTGTAACAGTATAATTTTAATCTCCAGTTTCAATTACAGTCTGATAGACAGATTGCAGCAAGTGATCAAATGAACAAATGGTTATTTCTGAGTCACAAATGCAGCCCAGCAGCAGCATGAGCCGGCTCAGTGGTAATGCAGGAGCCCGGGTCCGCGAGGCTCGCCTTTCTAGGGACGCACGGGCACTGCGATTCATCACCACCACTGTAATGGACTCGCTGGCACTGCGTGCATGACAGTAGGGGATGAGGCAAAAGCGACTCAAACCGTAAATCAATTAGAAAACAAAAGCTTGTGCATAGGACACAATTTTAGGCAAATTGTGTATCCCAAAGGCTGCCAGCTGGGCACTGGTGCTCTGGTCCCATGTCCCTCTCTTCCCAGGTTTAACCTTTTAGAGGAGAAGTCGAGACTGAGACTGCACCCTGGGAGGCTCTGCAATGTGGGCTGTGCTAACACAGCGCAGCTCAAGGAGCCCCATATGAGGTTGATGCAAGGCGGTGCTCGGGGTGGTGCCCGCCAGGGCAGGATGACCAGGACATCGTATCTCTGGGGAGAAGATCCATGACGCCGTGGCCAGGTGCAGCGTGGGCTGAGAGGCCGCAGAAGCTCTGCACTGCACTGTCACAGCGAAGGGCAAGGCTGGACTCTAAGGTCCTAGGCCTAGCTGCCACTGACTTACTATCCTGAACCGTTAGCAGGGTTCCAGGCTGCTCAGGCTGTTCCAGAGAGGCCAGGGAAGGGCAGGGAAAAGGGTCAGGGGTCATTACCCTTTTGCAACCGTGAAGTGGGTGTCAAAAGGAGGCACACCCTGGCGTTTCAAGAAGATAGGAACAGCTATTTCTAACACTGCAAATATTACATAACCACCGTATAGCCCCAATAGTCATCAGAATCAATCTGAAAATGCATTTATGCACTTTTTCACTTTTGTTTTAATGACTGTTAGGACTGTGAGCATGAATTTACAGATTAGGTAAGAAACTGCATATAAATAGTAAGAAGGGGACATTTCGGAGAGTTAATCTTTCATTCTTTTGATTCCTGAAGTTAACTTCACAAATGAGTATGTTCATTATGTATCGCATATATATACTAGGAAAAATGTTTCAAAAAAGTACAAGTCAGAAGATAAGAACCTTCCTCCTCCAAAACTAACTGAATCACAAAAACTATCACAGAAAAAATTTCAAACTGTAATAAAAAGAGTCTCTTTCTGAAACTTCCTTTCTGCTATAATAAAATGAAACTTCACATTATCTGATCTACTGGAAATTTTGCATATCCTAATTCTTCAAACTCTAGGAGGAGGGAAATGCTACAGTATTATTGTTAAGTATTTTAATTTACTTAAACTATGGAATTTATCCTGATATTTCCAAAGTTGGTAAATTTCAACGCTAAATCCCACAAACACTAAAAATTTCACATCCTCTCTCACAAAGCTTGGCTTATTATATAAGAGAAAAAGATGACAATTTTCAAAACCAGAACGCTGAATCTCATAGCAACATGGGAAGCAGGTCTAGAATTCCTGCTACAGGGAGGCTGAGGCAGGAGGATCAGAAATTCAAGGCCATCCTGGGCAATTTAGAGAAGGCCTTTCTCAAAACAAAAACAAAGCTGAGGAAGGATCTTCCAACGCATATTTTTAAACAGCCTTGGAACCCACAAAACTACTCAAATACAGGTTACCTTAGGAATCACAAGGATGAAAGATTAACTTTCCAAAATGTACCCATCTGTTTTCTTTCCCTTAAACAAAGTCATTAAAACAAAACAAGAGAAAAAAATGCGTAAATGCATTTTCAGATTGATTCTGATGACTGCTGGGGCTGTACAGTGGTTATATAATATTTGCAGTGTTAGAAATAGTTGTTCCTGTCTTCTTGAAAAGCCAGGGTGTGCCTACTGCGCGCACTTCTGGTAGAAAAGCTACGCCGCGTGACACATGCACTTAACAGTTACATTGAAGCAAAATGTGACAGGAGAAGGCAGGAACTTCCATTTCTGCAGGCTGGCGCCTCTGTGGCAGCAGCGCCACCTACTGGCCTCATGCGAGCGCGGCTGCGGGCGCAGAGCTGAGGACCAGGCTCCCTGGCGACTCGCTCAAACCCGGGCTTCCGGGAAACAGCCAACTCACCTTCACTTAAGTAAAAACTGACTTCTTCAAAATACAAAACTAAGAACTACCTTACACCTAAAAAGTATATAATTTTATAATAAAGAAAATATCAAAAATGACTTGTCTATAAAAGTATTTAATACTGAAAGTATTTTCATTCTGGAAAAGTGAACGGGGAAAGCAACTGTCTACTCTAAACAATCTCCACCCAACGCTCGAGTCTCTCCCCTGCATCCAAGCCCCAGAAGCCTCTCCCAAACAGCAGCTGCACTTGAAGTCACACGGCGGTCCTTCAGATGCCCCCAACGCAGAGCCCAACAGAGCTATGCTCTCCGAGGACATCTGCTCTGAGCCGGGACAGGGAAGGGTGTCCCAGGCAGCTTTGTCAGGCCACTGCCCCCGAGAGGACAGTGACCCTGTGCCCTGGATGAGATCAGCAGGGCAGGATGGGGCTGCCAGTCACCATCCCCAGGCACTGAGACCATGGCTTCAGAAGGGAGCCTGTTTTCTGCAGATTTTCCAGGGCCTGGTGGTCCCTCCTTCTTGAGCATAACAACACATTCCCATCTGGGGACAGGACTCACTCCCAGTGGGACCCAAGGCACTGACGGTCCCAGGCCCCAGGTGCGAAACAGGGCAGCAGAGCCCAGCCCGCTTCCTGCATCCTCCATGGGAGACGCGGCGATGCTGTGCCTCGGACAAAACAATCACTGTGTTTAGGAAAGATTAATATCTGAAACTGTTTGTTTGGCTTCAATAAAAAGCAGCAATATTGCTAAATATGTAAGTATGACATTTTGAAGAATTTACCATATTGCACAGGTCTGGTAGCGACGCTTAAGGAAATTAAAAACCACTACAGTCAGCATATTTGATCCTTATTAAAGTTCTGTCTTGAACTATCACTCACATAAAACAAAAATAAACCAAGAAGAAATTTAAATAAAACCTACGGATTATAAGTGTTTGAAGATGAAAAAAATGAACGCTATTCCAGCTTTAAAAAATTGATTTAGCATGCAGCTCCTCTTTATAGTCCCTTGATAAAAATGAAATCTCCCTAACAAACACTTAATAAAACCTGTCAATATCTCTGGCAAGAAAAATGACACAAATGCATTAAGTATTAAATACCCTTGGAAAAAGTCACATATTCCATGAATTTTTGATGTACTATCTTGACATTAATGTAAAACCTTGATATTTATAATTGACAGATATTTAATAAAGTATAAGGAAGATGGCCGCGGCCCGCATGCCAAGGTTTCCGGGTGATCAGAGACGAGAGACAGGCGTGCACACAGCTGGCGGGTGGGACGCGGTCCCCCCAGCTCACCCCCGACCCCATGTGGAGAACTATGGTAAGCGGGGCGGCTTCATCAGGACGAGAATTTCCCAGGCAGCGACACCCTCCAGAGCCCAGGCTGGGCTCACAGCGGTTTCCATTTTTAACACGGGCGATGGGCGGGTTAGGAGGACAGACGGGCACCTCCAAGACTGCGTGGGCGCAGCTCCTGAACAGGTCTGCGAGGGAGCGCATCCGACCCCAGGAGACTCGGAACACGGGTGGGGAGGGACCGCACCTTCCCTGAGAGGCAGAGACACCCAGGCCCGGCCCGCCCGGAAGGGGGCGCAGAGCCAGTGGGCTCTCTTGCCGCTGGTCTTTTATTTTCTAAGTGAACAGAGCACAATTTAACAGAAAGGCAAATTTAGACTCAAACATCTACTGAATCTGAAATTTAGTTTTGATGACCATAAATCAGAATCAAAGCATGGTTCATATATTACACTCTTGAGGGAAAAAATCCATTTTTAAGGCTTTTATTTTTAAACACAGATTATATCCAACTCTTCAGGGAATTTTTCAACATAAAGTTCTTTGAATTCACTCAATATGATCAAATAAAAATTTAACTACATCAATACACATTTAATTAGGTCTTTCTACTTTTCACTTACATATAGTTTTTTATAACAAATACGCATTACCTTGTAACAAAGATTAAATAAAAATGATTAGTGAAGAAATAGAATTGTTTAATAAATTCATAAAATTACTTTTAAGATGACTAAATCTACAATCTACAAGCAGTTTAATTCAACTGCAACTTAGTGAAACACTCCAAAAAAGCTGTCTGCAATATCTGTATTTGTTGCCACTTGTGTACCCTGAAGAAAGATTATCAACTATGA